GTTGATTGTCCCAATTTCCCTCTTCCTTTCCAGTTCCAGGCTCCCCTCGTCCTCCGCCAATACATCGGTGGATGAAGGACCTTTACCTGGAGGGGTGACCTTCCACCACTGGAAGGGCTGGATCCTCAGCTCCACTCTGGCCAGCTGAGTGGTCTTCTATTACCTCCTGGTGCTGCTATGGAAACGCTCGCTAAGCAGCGCCCCACCATAGCTGAGCTCTCTCTTCTGATTGTTCGGGGCAGTCTGCCGTTGGTCGGCTCAGTAGGGTCCAACATGGCTAAGTGCAGCCTCAACAGAAATGTGCGGGTCCCCTGATAACCTCCTCCCCCGTCGGAACGAGTCCCGCAAACATACAGGTCAGTGGATTTCGTTATGACATTTACATGCATATATGTCATTGTTCTTTGCTTGTGTTTGTCCTCCCTCACTGTCCTCCCCATTGGTGACCTCAGATGGCCCCTTTGCTCCCCTAAAACAATTCCCCTTCTGTTTTTCTACTATTACATCTTAATGTGTAAGTTTTAATTTTGCATATTTAATTCTTTGCCATTTAGATATTAGCCTGTAAGGCAGTAGGAAACAGGTGTTTTGTTCCTGTACTAAGGGTTTCTCTGAGTGTGTGTGTGTGTGTGTGTGGTTTACTCTTTCCACCATGTAGGTCCTGGTATGACAAATCATCTTCCCTGGACTAAGTTTTTAATGGTTTGGGGTCTTTCTAACTCACTTCACTTCTGTCTAAAATAAGCCAAAGACAGGAAGATTTAAGGGGCGTCTCCACCCTTTCTACATCTTATTGCCTAAGCATTGAGTGATAGGTCACTTCCGCCATCTAGTGGCCAAAATGGTGATTACAGACACATAAGACAATGTTATTATCCCATAGGAGACACTTAGTGTATTGAGTGAACACTGGAAATTAAATGTGGGTTTTCTGAATTGAGATATAATGTCTGTGCAGCTGTATACTAGATCTTAGTGCGGGGAGAAAAGTTAAAACATCTAACAATTTTTTCTACTGACTTTAGACATTTTGAGGTGGAGGGAGCAGCAGGGGCCCTACGACCGATGGGTAAGCCCAAGGTTGACTGCACCAGAGGTCTGCCTCGGGGAGTTCTCTTGCTCCCAGGGTAGCACTCTCACCCTGTGACATTGGATATAAAATGCCTGCGGTGCGGTGGGTGTGATTCCTCCCCTCAGAGCTGATGGCTAGCATGGTCTGCTGCATGGTTAAGTCTCTTTTCCTCTTCCAACCCCCAAGTGACTAAAATCCCACAGCGGGAAAATGGCTCAGTTGGGGGCCCTGCCCACTCTCTCTCTGTGCCAACTGTGACTGCTGCACAACACGGTGGCTCACAGCTGGACTTCCTTTGCTGTCCCCATGTCACCCTATCCTCACTCACCTCTCTTCTTCCCAGTGAGCCTTTAATCAGCCCCACCGCTGGACTCAAAACTACCCACATACTGCTTCCCCTGCAGCCACACCCCTCAGTGTGGCTCCTGGAGCAAGCTGTTCAGCTGGATACTGGCTAAACACGAATGTTTTGGGGCTTCAGACATACGAGGCCAGGAACTCCTGGAGCCCCACTCAGCTGTGTTTCCCAAGCCCTTCGGTTTGTTTCCTCTGCATTCAAGCCTGGGAGCTGCTGCTCTACACCCTACATGCCAGCCCCACAGCTACCACTTCCTGCCCCCCTCCTCCCATCTCCACCCGCTGTCCTGATTCTCCTGCACCTCTGCGTCCATGGCAACCCTCAGCAACTTAGTCATGAGCAAACTTCCCATGTTTCTGTCACGAATTTGGACTGTAACATTTATCCAGTCATTTCTCAATGCATTGTATGTGTGGGGGTGTTTCTCTTGGGTGTATGTTTGTGCACCATGTGCCTGGTGCCTGTGGAGGCCAACAGAGGATATCAGATCACCTGGAACTGGAATTACAGACAGTTGTGAGCTGCCACATGGGTGCTGGGGATTGAACCCCGGTCCTCTGGAAGAGCAGTCAATGCTCTTAACTACTGAGCCATCTCCCCAGGCCCTCAATTGTTTCGACACTAATATAATACAGTTTATTCTGGTCCTAAACAGAAATACACAAGCTGTTTTCCACTATACATTATATGAAGCATTCCTCTTTTCATTCGTGCTGGACATGTGAACTCTAGGAAGTTAACAATTGATGGCCAGGCATGGCGGTGGTGGTGCACGCCTTTAATCCCAGCACTGAGGAGAGGGGAGCAGAGGCAGCTGATCTCTGAGTTCATGACAGTCAGGACTACATGGAGAAACCTTGCCTGAGAAAGAGAGAGAGGAAGGGAAAGAGAAAGAGGGTGGGAGAGAGCAGGGTGAAAGGCAGCTGAGAGAGACCCCTAACCTCTTACTTCAGACCCTTCTGAAGCTGAGGACTATGAGCAGCAGTTAGAGCAGAAAATGCCTGTGGAGAATTCCTATGCAGCTCTTTAAACTGAGACAGAGCAAACAGAGCCAAGGCCTTCCTTTATGGAGCAGGGTGTTTACTTTCGTGTTTATGCTCCCACACCTCACAGCAGCAACTGCTCATGGCTACAGCACAACTATGTGGGAACCAAACTGAATAGACCTGATAAAATAACAAATAAAAATTAAAACCAAAACAAAACACTGTTTGCACAGTGGAGTTTCCCAGTCCCACCAATGGGTCAGGTCACGTGACACACACAGCATCCATAGTGTGAAGGACTCTGAAGGCCCATCATGAATGAAGAAGTGGCCCCTGCTTTATCTGGCTTACTGCTCTCAGCGATGCCGTCAGACAGGGCTGGAGCTTCTTGTCTCAACTCATCTTCCCTATGTGTGGTGCGCATGTGTGCATGAGTTAGAAGGTGCCCACATCTGTGCACATGCAGAGACTAGAAGACAACACTGGACACCCTGCTCTAACATGCTCCACTCTGTCCCCTTGAGGCAGGGCTCTCACTGAGCCTGGACCTCACCCGTTTTCCAGCAAGATCCACCTGTCTGTCTGCCCTGCCTCAGCACTGTGGTTACAGCTGCCCAAGGCTACACTGGCTTTTATGTAGGTGCAGGGGATCTGAATTCAGTTCCTCACGCTTGCACAGCAGGCGCTCTTGCCCACTGAGCCCTCTGCCCAGCTTCCATCTGCTCTTCTAATGCTCACATTCCAGTACTTAAACTTGTGGCTCGTTTTCAAGCATTAGACGTAATGCTTTGTAGTATTTGCAGCCACGTGCCATGGATGTTTCATGAACAAGAGACTATATGCAACGGTGGCCCCAAAAGGGTGTCAGGAGCTGAAATTCCCACTGCCTAGTCAAATTGTAACTGTCACCCACAGAGTGGTGTGTTACACGTTTGTGATAGTGCTTGTGGAAAATGACCAACGCTACCACCAGCCATATAAAAGTGTAACCTGTACAATTATGGACAGTACACACTGAGCAATGACAGTAAACAGCCATGTTACTGGTCTGTCACTTACTGTGCTATCCTTTTTAATCATTATTTTAGGGAGGGACTCCTCTATTTACCAAAAAAAAAAAAAAAAAAAAAAAAAAAAAAAAAAAAAAAGACACCTTTCTGTAAGTCACATGGCACACTATGCTAGCATCCTCACATCTTATTTACAGTGTCGGCTGAGGCCACATATGTAAGTGCACTTTATGATGTCACACAACAGAAAAATTGTGTAATGATGCATTTCTCATCAATAAACAATGCATGCCCATTTCACATTGCACTTTTATTTCCAGTATTTCCACCCCCTCTGAGGTGCTGCCACAGATACTGATCATAAAACATGATGAGTGAAACTGTGCAAGAACAAAGTTAAGTCTGTAACTGCCATGGCAGTTATGTGTCCAGAGAGCCCAGCTGTGTGGTGTGTACAGCTGCTGTCTTCCTAGTTAGTCTGAGCAGAGAGCCCAGCTGTGTGGTGTGTGCAGCTGCTGTCTTCCTAGTTAGTCTGAAGCACAGCCCCAGCTGTGTGGTGTGTGCAGCTGCTGTCTTCCTTGTTACAGCTGCTGTCTTCCTAGTTAGTCTGAAGAAGAGAGCCCAGCTGTGTGGTGTGTATGTACAGCTGCTGTCTTCCTAGTTAGTCTGAAGCAGAGCCCCAGCTGTGTGGTGTGTACAGCTGCTGTCTTCCTAGTTAGTCTGAAGCAGAGAGCCCAGCTGTGTGGTGTGTACAGCTGCTGTCTTCCTAGTTAGTCTGAAGCAGAGCCCAGCTGTGTTGTGTGTGCAGCTGCTGTCTTCCTAGTTAGTCTGAAGCAGCTCTTTTTCAGCACAGCAGCTGCAACCCTGGTCTCTTCACTCCTCTGGCCCATGGTGGCTTCCTTTCTTTCTCTTTTGCCCACACATTTGGTTTGACTGAGTTAATCATTCCTTCATACCAAGACACGAAGAGTAAAAACAAGCTATTTCCAGAAATTTTAAAAGGAAGTTGAATGTACTTTGTAAAACGGAATCTATTGGGTCACATAGCCCAAAAGCTACTGTTCCCCACAATATGGAATAACTCAGAGTGAGGCAGTAACTTAGACAACCTGCTCTCCTCAAGGAGTGGGCCACCTACTCCAGAGCTCAAAGCTGTGTTGGTTTGGGTTTGGTTTTTGAGACAAGGTCTCTCTATTTAGCCCTGGCTGTCCTCCAGGACTCACTCTGTAGACCAGGTGACCTCAGACTCACATAAATACACCTGCCTCTGCTTCCCAAGTGCTGGGATTAAAGGTGTATGCTACCATACCCAGCCGTATTTCATTTTGAAATGTATTCCAGGTTAGCCTCAACTCACAACCTCTTGCCTCTGCCTCCCAAATACTAGGATTAGAGGTGTGTGCTGCCTCATCTAGCTAAATCTCTTCAGCTAAAGCCCACTTCTCCTGAACCCACCCATACACCCTCCCCCTCTAGAAACACACCAAAGAAGAGCACTTTGCAGAGGTATCATGCCCCTTAGAACAAGAAGTCACTTCCCTTCAAAACAATGTCAGCCAAGAGACCAGTCAGAATCCACAGATATGAAACAGAAATTTAATTTCAGAATATTACATGAATATAAAACAATATATGATAGTTTCTCTATATTACATATATATGCAAAACAATCAAAAGTAACAAACAGGTGCAACCCTCTCTTAAGAAATCTTCTGGGGGTGGGGGTCAGTGAGGGAGTTCATGGAATAAGCACAGGCAAGCCTTGCTGAAAGGCCTTGGGTGAGAGAATGCCCTTCCTACAGCCCACTGGTCCAAGCATCCCAGAGGCATACTCCAAGGCTCTTTCACATGGGCTGTGGCCTCACACACTCCAGTTTCCATGGTGACACAAGCACTCAGGCTATGTATCCTCCATCTCCTCGATAGCCCACCTCCATCAACTGCACACTGCTCCCAGCATTAGCTGTATAGTTAGTAAAGCCAGCTTTTTGAAAGTTGAGTCTGCCATTGGGTTAACTGGGGTCACTCAAAAGCTTCACCTCAGGGAGCCAAATTCTAGAACAGTCCTATTGGTTTAGACTTGATCCTAGCTTCAGTTTGAAGGCTTCGGGGTGTAGGAGAGCAGGGATGATGCTGTTTCCAGAGGAAAAGGATGTCACAGAGTAAATATCTCTGCACAGGGCTTAGATGACAGTCCTAGTGTGAGGCCCTATATAAAGTAAGCAGGCAGGCAGTTTAGAGACAGCTGTTCTCAAAGATGGCCTCCTGCCTACACACGGTCACATGGCCCGTCACAGTGGCTGCCGGGTCCCCTAGAAGGCAGTATTTTAAACTATACACAGACACAGGCTCCTGAGAGGGAAGCCAGACAGAACACTACTCAGGAGAAAAGAACAGCTCTGCCCTGCAATGAGTTGACCTTCATACAAGTCAACAAAATAGCCATGTCCAGAGCCCAGTCACCAGCATCAGTATCCTGATTCTGTAGTCAGCATCCTATACTACCTCATCTCCCAGGGTTGTTTCTTCAGCAATCCCGACTGGCTCTAGGAGGACCTTCCAAGTAAAGTACATCCTGAGTGGAGGGCCAATTGTGGGTTCCCTCAGCACTCATCAGCTGTGCTGGTACTGAATGTCTGGTACTGAAATACAACCAATGTCTCCTAAGCCTCGTTCCCTTCACTGTGTGTGTGTGTGTGTGTGTGTGTGTGTGTGTGTGTGTGTGTGTGGTGTTAGGGGAGGAGAGGTTCAAACCTGATCACTGATTTCAGTGAGAAAATCTACTTCTGTGAAAGATTAGAAAAAGGGCTCACAGCCTCCACTCATTCACCCAGTGAAGATCCAAATACGACATGATCTGCCTCTTCATACTTGTGTCCTTCTGGCAAAAATATACTACCCTATGTTGATACAACATCAAAGCCTGTGGCAATTAACCCCAGAAAAAAAATGAAAGGTACTTCCAAAGAGATTGCTCCAACATGAAAAATAAACAATACAAATATCCTTTAAGACATAGGTTAGCTGGGTAGTGGTGGCACATGCCTTTCTTTAATCCCAGCACTCGGGAGGCAGAAGCAGGAGAACTCTGAGTTCGAGACCAGCCTGGTCTACAGATCAAGTTCCAGGGCAGCCAAGGCTACACAGACAAACCCTGTCTCAAAAACAAAAACAAAAGACATAGGTTAAAAATATTAAATACTGGCTCATAAACAGCAACTGTACACCCTGTCAGAAGGGCAAGAGAAACCTTCTGGAGCAACAATGGAGCTTTTGTCTAAGTTTCCCAAAAGATACCACAGGATTAGAACAGCTACATATTATAAGACACAGAAAGAAGGTTATGCTCTTCCTCAAGTTTATTCTGCACTGGATCACAGCTTCTATAAGAAAAATGACCTTAAAGCAAGAGACTGAGTATTCAATAAATAAATAAATACATTCCCAAATACACATGGCAACTGCCCAAGAGGCCAGCTACAGAAAAGCCATGGGGTAAACGTCTCACTCTCTCCTCTCTGTCTCTCTCCACCCTCGCCCAGACCACCCCTGGTCATTGCTTCATTCATCCACACCCATCTCCTCTCTCTCTATCTAACAGAAGGCACTGCTCAGCTCTCTGGCCAGGGCCACATTACAGTATGGTGGAACATACTTAAAGCAAGTTTTGTGCTGGGGAGAACTACTTAGATTTGGTAATACAAAAGGATTTCTGTTTGACCTCACTATATACCTCGGACAAGAAATTTATTTAAAAAGAAACAAACTTTTTCTTAGTAACGACAACAACAACAAAAAAGAGTCAAACAAAAACCTAGACAAATGAATTTGCTAATGAAGATCTTTAAGAATGACCTAAAACACTTTTAGAGAAAGAAACTTAAACACCTCCACTGCTCCCAAACTATCCAGCTGGAAGGCCAAAAACCACATTTTCCTTTACCACTGCTGTTAAAACAACAGAATAAACAGTATAGTATGGAAGAGTGTACTGACAGACAGACACAAAGTCAGCCTCTGCTACCCCAAAGTCAGCTCTCATTTCAACAATCACACAGCATGTTCGATTGTTTATCATTAGGTTGGCAAACCGTTCCCCACAGTGGGGTGAGGATGGTCGCATGGTTCGAGTCAGCCATACCTCACCACCCTCACCTGCCACCTGCTGCTCAGTGGGCAGTGCCTCTGCTTTACTCTTGCTTCCTGTGCCCATCTGACAAGGAAAGGGGCAGTGAGCAACTGTCCTAGATCACTGGGGACACAGCACATCTGCTTTCATTAGCTCTTACAGACCTGCAGAGACTGCCACGCTTTTCTTTCCTGGTTCCAAGCTGCTCTTAGGAGATAGTTGAACAGCATATTTGATACCTAGGAATGTGTGACAGGATCCTACCAAAGCCAACCAGCCTCCCCTGGGACTACTGCAGTTTCCACCACATGCAGACTGCAGCAAGCTCCATGTAGCAGATCGTGACTCTCCCCGGTCCCAGGGATCTGTTGCAGTGGCAGCAGAGATGTTTCAGTGAGAGGTGCTAAGGAAGGAAGCAAGTTAACAACCACACAGCCATCCCCACATCACTAAGGGGAAGATATGAGACATGGGGGTGCAGCTTATTAATAGCTGAAATCTGTTACAATATACTGTACTGAACTCTCTTTCATTGCCGTGTCAAATCCCCTATAACAGACACAAGAAATAATAAAGAAATAGTAATCCTTTGAGTACAAATAAGATAAAGAGATTTCTTGAGCTCAAAATGAAAAGCATCAAAGAGAATCCGCCTAGGTTATTAATCTAAACAATGGCTTTTAAAACAAGTAAATCAACAATCAACTACTCACTACTAATAACATGGAGAAAAGCCCTAAATACCAGTTAAAGTAGAGCAATCCACTTAAGACTGACAGAACTTTTAAAAAATATTACTAGCAATTAAACATAAAATTTCCTATTTTGAGAAACAGAACTGTCCTGAGCACACTGACTAAGCACAGCTGGGCCTGCCCACCTACTGTACTGTGTAAGCTGGCAGGCGTCTAGTGGATCCTGATATTAAAAACAAACACAGAGAGAGCAGAACAGTCTCTCAGAGGCACAGCTCCAAAGACATCCAGGGAGAGGGTCAGAGGTACCAGTCCATCATGCTTTGATTGGCTTTCACAATTCAATGCAGGCAGCAAGCTGCAAACTTCACTGAGAAGTACCGCCTGTCCCACTGAAGAGGAACTTCACATGGACAGCAGGGGAGTCTAGTTAACCCTTCAGAGGAATCCTAGGTTAAAACAGAAACAAGAAGGTTAGACATCAATTAAACATTCACTTTTTAAATGCCCCATCTAAAAGCTACAGAACCTATACTTCAGTATTTTCTCCATATTTGGATTAAATAATGTGAGACAGCAACCCTCTACCATGTAAATATCAACAAGTCTGCTTGGCCTGATCCCAGCTTGCTCATATATATGTATATATATAAATTTTATTTAAATTAGAAACAATCTTACATATCAATCCCAGTTCCCTCTCCCTCCCATCCTCCCATGCCCCCCATCCCATCCCCCATCCACTCCCCAGGGAGGGCGAGGCCTTCCATGGGGATCATCAAAGTCTGTCAAGTCATTTGGGGCAGGGCCTAGGTCGTCTCCCATGTATCTAGGCTAAGAGAGTGTGCCTCCATGGGGAATGGACTCCCAAAGTCTGTTCATGCACTAGGGATAAATACTGGTTACACTGCCGGAGTCCCTGTAGACTACCCAGGCCTCCTAAGCTGACACCCACATTCAGGAGGCCTGGTTCGGTCCTATGTTGGTTCCCTAGCTGTCAGACTTGCTCAGGTCAGCTGTTTCTGTGGGTTTCCCCAGCCTGGTCTGGACCCCTTTGTTACATCACTCCTCCCTCTCTACAACTGTATTCCAGTTCGGCTCAGTGCTTAGCTTTGAATCTCTGCTTCTGCTTCCATCCAGCTTGCTCTTGTTAATGACAGTAACAGTCATCACTTAGTAGGGACACATACAGTAACGGCTCTTGTCCCCAGTTCCTTGTGTACATTATCTCATTTATCCTCACAGCCACCTATATGGAAGGTAGTATGCTGTTGTTTCACAGATGCAAACCCTGCAGCCCACAGAAGCTAACCTGCTCAGGATAGAAACCCATCAAGCACTAAAATGGAGCAGACCCAAGTCTAAGTGACTGTGGAGCTTGGGCTGTTACCAGCACTGCCCTGCTCACCAGAGGCCATTTACTAAACCAAGAGCAGCAAGCCACGGACACTACTGAAACAAAGACAAGAGCAAAAGGGTTGAAGGTGGGTTGGTGTGCATGAGTGTGTGCTGGCAGGACAAGGGGCTGAACCCAGGACACTGCAGATGCCAGGCAAGCACTTCAACAAGCACTATCTATCATAAAGTCTGACCCTTGCCTCCTTGAACCAGATGCAGGTATATGACAATGCAAATGAGGTAAATACCATAAATCACAGTCAGTGTCCATACTTCAGTACTGATGACAGAGTTCAATGGAAAGTTATTCTGTCTGGCCCATTTAGACAGACAAGGCTTCAAAGAGGAGCAAGAGGGAAGGCTCAGCTGAACTTGGAAAAACTAGAAAGATTTGACTACTGAAAATAATGCCCCTTGCCACGCGTTGGTGGCACATGCCTTTAATCCCAGCACTCAGGAGGCAGAGGCAGGCGGATCTCTATGAGTTCGAGGCCAGCCTAGTCTCCAGAGCGAATGCCAGGATAGGCTCCAAAGCTGCACGGGAGGGGGGGAATAATGCCCCTTGATGAGTGGGTGCTCCATCATGTGTTCTCATCGGGGATAATTTTGCCCCTGTATCCTCAAGGGACACTGGTAATGTCTGGAGGAACTTTCAATGATCATAACTGAGGGCAGGATGCTAGTGGCATCTGCTGGATCAAAGCTGCTAGATATCACCAATGCACAAGGCAGCTAGCTCCACACAAGGAATTATGACCCAAAGTGTCAACAGTGGCCAGGCTAAGAAGCCCTTGGCTAAACAGAAGTCTCCATCATGCTATTGGTGGTGACAGTGACAATGCACAATGTTTCTTCTGGGGGTGATTTCAACATCAGTGTCAAGAACAGCAGGGTTGTATCTATTGTTCTGTAAGAGAGATACATGACAGGCTGGCTCCTGAGCTGCAAACTTGGAGACTGGAGAGTTCAGACCTAAAGATGCTTTTTGGGAGTGAGCTGTGGAAGCAGATCAAGGTACTAAGAAGGGCAAAATGCAGGAGAGAAGAGTGGCGAACTTAACTCAATTAGCCAAAAGCAAGCCAGATGTGGTGGTATACAATTTTATATAATGCTGTTAGGAGCCAAATCTCAGGGCTGGGCATGAGATCCTAGGCCATGCTTGGCAGGCCACATAGTTAACCTTTACATAGCAGCTCCTTAGAACCTCAGCTCAAGAAAACAAACAACCTGACCCAGTCCTCCACCCACAGGCTCAGTCACCTAAGCAACCCTTCCTGGACCTCTTACTCATAAACTTTTTACCCTGCTAAACATCCTCTTTGAGGCTTCCTAATATCCTGCCTACACTAACACCTGATGCACAAACAACCCATTTTGCCCCACCCCATATCTTGACTACATAAGCTAGCCTGAGAAAAGTAAAGTTTGCCACTTGATCAGAATCCTGTCTTGTGGTCATTCTTTCTGTGTCTCTTGTCCCCATTCCCTATCCCTGACTCTCTTGCCCCAGGTTGACGTTCTGTAAGTCGGGACATAATGCCTAAAATCCCAGCTACTCAGGAGGCAGAAGTAAGAAGATTGCAGGCTTAAGGCCAACCTGGAAAACCTAAGAGAAACCATGTCTCAAAAAAGAAAGAAAAAAAATTTAAGAAAGGAGGGGGGCTGCCTAAGAATGTAGCTCAATAGTAGAGCATGTGTGAAGCCCTGGATTTAATCCCATCACCACAAAAACTAAACAGACAGAAGCGAGGGACTGGCAGACAACAGTAAACCATAATAACTAGGGGAAAGATTAAGAGTGGTGTGTCATCAGGACATCAGATGAAGGTGCCAGAAGACATGTAACGATGCCATTCTTCATTCACCAAAATGTCATGTATTATCTGTGGGCCTAAAGAAACTCCTTCCTTTCTTCCCAAAGCAGAGTTGTCAAGATAGAAAAATGAAAGTAACAAAAAGCATAATACAGCATATTCTTCAAAAAAAATAACTCATGCTTTGATCTGTGGACATTTAAAAAATATTTGGATATGAATAACTCAAATACTAAGCTTGCTTCCAATTCTGTGCAAAAGAAAGGGAGGAAGAGAAGTGGGCTCAGGCATTCATCAAAATGAGTAAGACCACTATATTAAAGCCTAATTTCCTAGAAAAGAATAAAGCTGCATCACAACGACTTCCTTGTGTTGGGCATAGGACCCAAGTGGCTCTACCACTGAGCTACATGACCAACACATTTGTACTCTTTCTACTGCTAATATACTAAGTAGTAACTGAACTTCCAGAAATCCGCCTGCTGTCCCTGATGAATGCTGAGATTGCTGGTGTGCAGACCATGCCTGCTTGCAGTAGCCTTTTAACAGAAGAGCTCAGAACAGCCGTGATCCTGGCATTAAAAAATTCCTCACTCTTACAATCGGCCGTGTACTCTGAGCAGATCCTACTCTCCTTGTTCGTTCGCCGGCAACCATATCTGACAAACCCGATATGACTGAGATCGAGAAATTCAATAAGTCGAAATTGAAGAAGACAGAAACGCAAGAGAAAAATCCTCTGCCTTCAAAAGAAACGATTGAACAGGAGAAGCAAGCTGGCGAATCGTAATGAGGCGAGCGCCGCCAATATGCACTGTACATTCCACAAGCATTGCCTTCTTATTTTACTTCTTTTAGCTGTTTAACTTTGTAAGATGCAAAGAGGTTGGATCAAGTTTAAATGATTATGCTGCCCCTTTCACATCAAAGAATCAGAACTACTGACCAGGAAGGCCTTCCCTGCCTCTCCCACCCATCTGTCAGTCTGGCTGGCAGGGAGGGAAAAGAACTTGCATGTTGGTGAAAGAAAATCTGGGTGGGAGGTGGTGAAATATAGAGAAAAATTCAAGATGGTCCAAGGTGTACTGCAGGATGTAAAATACAGTTTGATCAGAGTGCCATTTTTTTGTTCAGATGATTTTAATTATTGGAATATACAATTTTTTAATATGCAAATAAAGTTTTAAAACCTAGAAAGAAAAAAAAAAGAAAAAGAAAAAAATCCTCACTCTTTGAGAGACCCTGTCTCCAAAAAACAAACAATAATAATAATCCTCTCTGTACTAAAGAGCTTCAAAATCATGCTGACATGATTTCCAAGGTCCTTCTACATCAGAAAAGCTTCAGTGATACCAGGCAGTGGTGGCGTATATCTTTAATCCCAGCACTCAGGAGGCAGAGGCTGGTGGATCTGAGTTCAAGGCCAGCCTGGTCTACAGAGCCCATTCCAGGACAGCCAGGGTGACACAGAGAAATGCTGTCTTGAGAAAAGAAGAAAAGAAAAGCTTCGGTGACCAGGTCTAAAGTATGCATGGAAGAGGAACATGACTTGAGGGGACTCTCGGCATTTGTACTTGTCCCACCTGAGTTAACATGTGTTTTTCAAACAGGTGATGTGTGGGGCTGTGGTCCAGTGGGTCGGTATTTGAAACTCTGCCCCTCAGTTCCTAAGAGCAGTGCTAAGTAGAATAAGCACCCACATTCCCTCTGAGTACAATTATACCACCTTGGACATCCCAAACAAGAAACACTGCTGACTGAGAAGACACAAGACCCACATTCAGTAAGAACAAAGGACAACTACAGTGAGTACCTTTCCTCCCCTCTTTCTTCCCTTCAGACCATTTCAATCTTGTTGGTGTCATTTTGAGAGTTGGAGAGCCAGAAAAGAACTGCAATGAGAAAATTGTAGAGTGGGTTAAATGATCAAATGCTAGTGCAGCTTTACAGAGATGTTAAGTTATAGCTCTCTAATCTTAACTGGCTGCTGTCAGCTTCAGAAAACAGCCTAGGCTACCTTGAAGGGCCAGCTGCCCACAGGTAACACAGAGCCCAGGACCTGCCCTGTGACATTCTGGTGAGAGTTAGCTGACCCTTCAGAACTTGTTTGCAGAGCCATTGTGCTATACTGGTCATCTGTACTTGTAACCATCTACACTGGTTAGTTTCTTTATCAACTTGACACAAGTTAAGAGTCATCAGGGAAGAGGGACCTCAACTGAGACAATGCCTCCATCAGACTGGCCTGGCCTGTAGGCAAGCACATAGGGCATTTTATTGATTAATGATTAATGGAGAAGAGCACAGGCACTGTGGAGATGCCTCCCTGGGCAAATAGTTTGGGTTCTACCCCCCAAAAAAGAGAGAAGCTAAGGGACCCACGGTGAGCATACCATTAAGCAATGCTCCTCCATGGCCTCTGCTTCAGTTCCTGCCTTGCATTCCTGCAATGACTTCCCTCCTGATGGACAATTGTAAGCTGTAAGCTAAATAAACCCTTTCCTTCCTGAGTTTTGGTCAGTGTTTATCACAGCAATGAAAAGCACATTAATGCACATGCTATGTCTTTGGTGAAAACTTACAGAAAGGCCCTGAGCATGCTGAATGAGCCAGAGTCACAGCACAACAGCACTAGCCTCCCTGCTGTCCTCTTCTTCCCACAGAGGACAGGGAGAGGACGTGCTCTTACCAAGCTCATATTTTCTTTGCTGACTCTCTTCAATTCACCCATGGCCACAGTCTCTGGAGTAGGGGACTTGTTTTTCTTTTCTGACATCATCTGATTGCCCAGGACTTTGCGCTGATTTGGAAACAGAGAATATTTTGTTGGTGAGCATTTGCTATTTTGTAGCTGTGCTGATCTTCAAAACTACAATTTCCTCAATTAAAAACCTCAGCATCAGCCGGGCAGTGGTGGTGCATACCTTTAATTCCAGCACTCAGGAGGCAGAGGCAGGTAGATCTCTGTGAGTTTGAGGCCAGCCTGGTCTACAAAGCTATGCAGAGAAACCCTGTCTCAAAAACAAAAACAAAAACAAAACCCTCAGCATCCTCAGACTCGAGCCATGTCATACAAGAGGGGAAGGCACATAGCAAACAATAAGAACTACTGTTTCTCTAGGTGATTTAGCCTACCTAATATTAGCTAATAGCAGTGCACCTGTGAGCATGAAAGAAATCCCAGTCACTCTTGAAGGTTGGGCTTTCTTGGAGGCGTGGGATTTATAGAGGGTGTGCTCTCTCTGGCAGCTGCTAAGGGTCCCTTCCTCTCCCCACTAAGGGAACCACAGACTAGGTTGACTCTAGGATTCTGCTTGTCTGTCCTTCCTCACTGTAAATATGCAGAAATTGTCTAGAGTTCCTAATACAGCCACAAAAGGCCCCAGGGCTTCTCAGAGGAAGTCACATGACCACTGACACACAGAGCAAAAACGTAAGGTCTTCTGAACAGCCTGGAAGCTGATGTGACCTGCTGCAGCAGCAAATGGTAATAACTCTATCTCAGAGAAGCCCCGCCCTTTTCCCTGCAGAATAAATCTGAATCCCAAAACAAGAACATTATCAAAACTAAAACACCAAAGAAAAAATATTAAACAATTAAAAAACTAAAGCATTAAATTCTACATTATGACTATTGACAGCGGGGTCCAGAATATCCTAATGTGATCAATTATTTACATGACATACCACAGAGGACAACCTTCTTCCAAAATATGAGGTTGCTGAAGGACCCACTGTCAGATAAACCTCTGTAAAACTGGGAGAAAAGCAAATTTCTACAAGTTTTAATTTTTTTAAGATTTTGTTTCATTTTTATTTGTGTGTGTGTACACATATCACATGTGAGTACAGGTTCCTACAGAGGGCAGCCGCATTAGATCCCCTGGAGCTGGAATTGTGGGCAGTTGTAAACTGCACAAGGTGGGTGCTAGGAACTGAGCCCTGGTCCTCTGGAACAGCAACAAGTGTGCTTATCTGTTGAGCTATCTCTCCAGCTTCCAAAGTTTTTGCTGTGGTTGGTTGGTTGGTTTTTGGTTTTTCCAGACAGGGTTTCTCTGTGCAGCTTTGGAGCCTGTCCTGGAACTCACTCTGTAGACCAGACTGGCCCTGAACTCACAGAGATCCGCCTTCGTCTGCCTCCCAAGTGCTGGGATAAAAGGCGTGTGCTACAACTGCCTGACTAACTTGCAAAGTTTTAATTTTTAAAAGACTTAGAAATAAAACAGGTATTTTTTTTAAAAGAATCAAACAGCTAAAACACACACAAATACATACACATGAACACACGTACTATAAAAATAAGGCCTGTATATCCTCCCTCCAGAGAGGAGGAATCATCTGAGGATGGTGAACTGGGAATGCCAGTATCCAGGAAACTAGCTATAAAGCTTCCAGTGAATTTTCAAAAGGGCACTCTAAGTCGGATCTGCCACGTGCAAGGCCCCAGCACCACTCACAAGTAAAAATGGTACTTGACTGTTTCACTGCAGACCTACTGAGCAAAAGCTTATACCTTCTATCAGCTCAAAAGTCTCTTCAGCTATAATGAAAACACCTTGTCCCTCTGTTTTATAAAATTTGCTATTATAACATCTGTGTTTAAAGCTGTTGTTCTGGGCTTGGGATATAACTCAATGGTAGAGTGCTTGCTCATATGCATGAGGTCCTGGATTCGGCTAACAGTGCCACCAAAAACAGAAAAAGAAAAATAATAATGTTCTAAAGTGTTTTATCCTGATAACTTCTGAAGTTCAAGTAATCTTTTAGTAAAGAGGTAAGCAATAGTCAAATAGATAATAACATCTACATTTCAAGCAATAACTACAAATACACCTCAAGCCAAAACACAAAACCACATCCATCCAACTTCAATTATACAAACACTTGTATGTAGCCAGAGCTACATAGAGAGACCCTGTCTCAAAAAGAAAAGGAAAAGAACTTAACTAGAATCAAGTTTATGACCGTATCCACTTCAGTGTATATTTCAGTGCCATCGCTACAGTCACAGTGTCATAACACAGCCAACTCACCCATCCCCACACTATTCCTCCAAAGCAGAAGACAACACCTCATTCCCTCCATACCTCTGGCCACCAGTGTCACAAATCATTCCCTGTCTCCATGACTGTGATTGTTTTAGTACCCCAGATAAGCAGAATGGTCAACATTTGGCCTTTGGTGACTGGCCTATACGGTTTAGCGTCGAATCCTCAGGGCCTACCACAGTGAGGAAGAGTCAGACTCGCCCTCCTTTCTAAGGAAGAATAACCTTCCACTCTCTCTACACTTCACATCTTCAGTCATTCAATGGACAGTGAGGCTGCTTCTACCTTTGACCACTGCAAATGACACTTCCGTGAAGACAGGTATACAAGTAACTCCCTGAGACCCTGCTTTCAATTCATTGGTATGTTCATAGAATTGAAATCGGTGGATCATAAAGTAATTCTACTGTTGATTTCCTGAGAGACCATTTTACTGTTTTCCCCAACAGCTTTGCCATTTTACATTCCTAGCAATAGTGCATGGGGTTTTCATTTCCCTACGTTTGTAGCGTTCTGTTTTGTGGATAGCAGTCACCCTAGTGTATGTGGAGTGGCACAGCGCTGTGGGTTTGCCTTACACGCCCCTAATGATTATGATGATGAACACCTTTTCCTGTCTTTCTTGGTCACATGTGTGTCTTGAGAGAAATGTCTACTCAGGTTATTTGCCCATTTTATAATGAGCTTGGGTTTTCAGTAATTTTGAGCTATACAAGTTCCTTCTATTTTTTTCTGGATATTATCTCCTAACCAGATACATAACTAGCAAATATTCTCTCCTATTCCACAAGTTGCCTTTTCACTCCATTGTGGATAGCAAAGAAAACTCTCCAGCAGCAAGTGTCATGTTTCAAAGGCCACTGGCCCCATCCATGAGGATAGAAAATGGATTCCAGACGTCTACAAAATATAAAAAGGATCAAAACTCGGGCTAAATGAAATTGCAACTGCTAATGACTTCAGCATAAAGGGGAGAAAATTAAAAGGGGAGAAAATTAAATGGCACTCATTTGTTATAGAAAAAAAAAACATAAGTTTTGGTAAAAAAAAAAAGGCTCCTTTATATTTGTACAAATATATACTTTAACAATGTTAAAACCATTTTTAAAAGAAAATTAGAACTAAGGATAGAGCTAATCCCTCTAGGTTAGCCCCCCTTAGTTAGGCATTGAAATTAGAACCCTATGGCCAAGTCCCCTACTGCCATCTGATGGCAACATTCACTAACTACACTCATGCTCAACAATCTGCACACAGGGACAGCAGCAACAACACAGAAATATATTTCTATTTGTTCTAGAAACAAGATTTCTGATAATTATGAAATATGGAAAGAGACTAAAACAACAGTGAAATCAAGTTCACCAAAATTAAAGATATCAAAATTCACTGGGGTATTAGAAAATCCATTTGTCCAACAGTTTCCCTAGTCCTCAGCTTGCTCACTCCCCACACATGTAGCAAAGAGCATAAAGAAGAGTGTAGTGTAGATGCCGGGTAGTATTGCACGCCTTTAATCCCAGCACTCAGGAGGCAGAGGCAGGCGGATCTCTGTGAGTTTGAAGCCAGCCTGGTCTACAGAGCGAGTTCCAAGACTGCCAGAGCTACACAGAGAAACCCTGTCTCAAAAGTGTGTAGTATGAAGCAGGAAGTAAGAGACTCCTGTCTTCAGACACAGGGAGGAAGGGAAGGCTGGTGCTGCTTTCTCTACAGAGTTAATTCCATTTGTGACATAGTAAAATGCTTTGGGAAAAGGCCTTTCCAAACTCTGTCCCCTCAGCAATTGACCTTTTATAGAACTCCAAGAAACAGAACTACCAAGCTGTTTGTGCACAAGAAAATAAGATATCAGTTCCCTGAGAACCAGTGTGGACAGCAGCAGCACAAAGGCTCACCTTAATAAGCCCACTAAAGGATCTCGAACGGGCTCTTTTCTGGACCCTGGGAGTAGAAGGTTCTTGCCCCGGTGTTTGAGTCAAAGATTGCTTATGGAACTACAAGAAAATACAGAGTACATTTTATCAATATTGTCCCATCAAGAAATGACAACTTAGGGCAAGCAACAGCTGAGCGTAAATACCCACAAAGCCAAAGAGTCTGTGCAGATGTAGAGAGTAGGTTGATAAGCAATCAGCAAGCAGAAGGGATATTCACTATCCCTGTTTACAGATAGGAAACCAAGATCCAGGCTTATGAACTGTTCTACGATCTGACAGTAAACCAGAATTATTTTTGCATCAAATACCTTGGAAATAGAAAGTTACTAGCACAACCCACAGCAGTCCTCAGCTTAACAAGTTGTATGCAGGATTTATTTTTAAGATAAACTCTCATGTAGCAGAGGCTGACCTCAACTCTCTGAATGGCCAAGGATGACCTTTAACTCCTAATCTTCCTGCCTCCATCTTCCAAGTCATGACATTATAAACCTAGAAGGCTATATATACCCAGTTTATGAGGGGTCAGGGATCCAGCCCAGGGCCTTGTGAATGTAGAGCAAGCACTCTACCAACTGAGCTACATTCCTAAGCTAGGATGTTTCTAAAGTATTGAAGCTCTCTAACTAGAGTTCACAATTGTCCACCAGCACTGCTGTGGCGGGAAAGAGACTGAATGCAGACTTTTAATGCTGTCAGCTCTTTGTGTAGAAGCATCTCCAGTAGAAAAAAAGGAAGACACTCATTATTTGGTGTGACAGGGTCTCACTGTGTAGCTCTGGCTGTCCTGGAACTCACTATGGAGTACATTGCAATTCCATGGACAAGCCTGCTATTTTGGCTACACCAAAGCTTGTTCCAAGTGTGAGTGCGACCTAAGGGAGATTTTTAACTGTGTTCCCTGGTGATTTCTAGAGTCCACCCTACTTCCCTGCATCCAGGCACCTGTTTAATAAGCTGTTTCTTCTTCGTGGAGTCTGGCATGTTATGAACATGTTGGAAGAGCTCTTTCAGTGCCTCTTCTGTATGTTGCTGGGTCTCCTCCTGTTGAGAACAAGAATCTACCCTGTTCCGTTTCTGAGATCTTGCCAGCTGGGAGGACAAGGCATGACATGAGGTTGTCAGATCAAGATCATCCTACAGAAAAATTTATAAAAAAGCAAATTAATATATCCTACTGGCTTTGTTTTGGGCTCCCATAATAACCTTGATCAAAAGAAGGGGGAAGGAGAAGCATCACATACTACTATATGCAGGAACAAGGAAAACCCTAACACAAGTACCAGATAAAGGAAAAACTATTAATAAGAGGTTCTGAATGGTCCACTTCCATGATCCGCCCAGAAAATCCATGTGCATTTAGATTATTGCCATAGAAGATTATAGCTGTTTGAATTTAGTTTACAAAATACCTTTTTATCTCATGTAATCCTTGTTGCTATCCAATAAAGTAAGCTCTAAAGTATTAGTCCCAGCAGACAGTCCCAGCAACAACAACAAACATAAACAAAAACCTGAGGTGAAAGTTAACTTCATCTAGACACTGAAGTGATAAACCTACCCTAGAACCCATAGCTACTGGACCTTGGCTCAAACTCTTTTCCATACAAACTACATGAACGTAGTATAGGAATAAAAGCTACAGCTCTCCAAGGAAAACAGCACCCTAGTTAAACTAGTTTTTAAAATGCCATTTCTGGGGCTAGAGAGATGGCTACTCTTCCAGAAGACACTGGTTCGATTCCCAGAACCGGCATGGCAGCTCACATCTGCCTGTAACTCAAGTTCCAGGAGATCCAACACCCTCACACAGACATGAATACAAGTTAAACATCAATGCACATAAAATAAAAGTAAATAAATCTTTTTTAAGGCAAAAAATTGTTTCTTAGTCATACCAAATATTTGCTGGATGAGAGAAAGAAACAGGAGTAGAAAACAGAGCATAAGACAGAGTCTCCAAGTCTCTAACTCAGGCTAAATACAAGTCAGCCATGTGCTGGTCAGGCCTTCCTCAGCTTCTCACTGCTACAGCTCAATACTTTTGCATAATTTTCTGCTAATAAGCATCATATATTTCTCTAAGCTCATTTGATGCTGGCTAACTTTTATTGTCAGCTTGACACAACCAACAGTACCTGGGAAGAGGGAACCTAACCTCCATTGAGGATCAGCCTTAACAGACTGGCCTGTGGCCATATCTATTAGAGATTGCCCTGACTGACAACTGATGTGAGAGGGCCCAGCCCACTGTAGGGGGCACCATCTCTAGGCAGGTGAGCCTAGATTATCCTAAAAAGCTAGATAAGCATGAGCCAGTGAGTGAGCCCGGAAGCAGCATTCAGCCATGGTTTCCTCTTCAGGTTTCTCTTTAAGCTACTGCCCTGACTTCCCTCAGTGATGGACTGTAACCTGGAAGTGTAAGATGAAATAAACCCTTTTCTACCCTAAGCTGTCTTGGTTATAGTGTTTATCACAGCAGCAGAAAGCAATCTAGAATACAAATCTTTTTTTCCTCCTTTTTATTGAGAGAGAGAGAGGGAGGGAGGGAGAGAAGAGAGAGAGAGAGAATGTGTGTATATCTCTGAAAGCAAACAAGCAAGCATATTATACATAGGGGCATTTTAATTTCACAACTTTCTTCTTAGTCTTTGTCCCTGCTAAAACAAATGACTAGGTAAGTTGGAGCTGTAACATTAAAAGTACTGGCTTAATGATGATATTACTTTGCTTTAAAACTTCACTAATCTTAGTTCTTCCCTTTTTTGAAGATCAGTTTCCTGTTCTTACCTTTGACACTTGAGTTCTGGAGCCCAGATAGTATAATCTGGCACATTCCCGAATATAAGCAGGAGCCTGAAAAGGACATAAAAGAAAACCAGGGCACAGTAGTCAATAGGACAACAATTCTTTCAGGCCACAGAAAGAGAATCATAACTCTTATTTAATGGGCAGATTACTGTGGAAAGCCAAATACTTGCCAAAATACCATATTTGACCAAATAGGCACCTCAACAGATCTAATGGGAAACTGAAGGAACACACTGTAATTGATATTTCACGTGAGCCAACATGAAAATACAGACCATTCCCAGTGCCACTCTCTGCCTCCTGCTTGCTGATCACAATGTGAGTTCTCAGCTGTCCCTGCTGCCATGCCTTTGCTCTGCCATCATGGGCTCTAACTTTCTAAAACTGTGAGCTTAAATTAAATGCTTTCTTTTCTAAGTTGCCTCGGTTGGCTGTGCTTGGTGGTGCACACCTTTAATCCCAGTATTTGGGAAGCAGAAACAGGTGAATATCTACGAGTTTGAGGCCAGGCTGGTCTACATAGAGTCCCAAGGCAGCTAGGGCTACATAGAAAGACACTGTCTCTAAAAAACAAACAAACAAACAAAACAAAAAAATCAAAAAGTGGCCTTGGCCACTGTGTCTCGTCAGAAATAGAACAAACAGTAACTATGACATATGAAAAAATGTTGCGCATCACCCATCTCTACATACATCAGAACTACAGTGAGACCCATCCCACACCCATTATGACAACAATGAGAAAATAACTATCAGAAACTGGGAGGTAGTGGTGCACATCTTTAGTCCCAGCACTCAGGAGATAGAGGCAGGCAGATCTATGTGAATTCAAGGCCAGTCTGGTCTATTGAGTTCTATCTAGGACAGCCTCCAAAGCTACATAGAAACCGTGTCTCAAAAAATAAATAAATAAACTATCAGGAAGAAGGGGGCTGTTAAGGTCATGGATCCCATTCTACTATTAGGAAAAATGGAAAACAGTGTGGCAGGTTCTCAAAAATATTTAAAACGTATTACCATCTGGTCTAGGAAATATTCCAAAAAGAATAAAGGCAGGAGGCCAGGCAGTGATTGTGCAGTGATGGTGCACACTCAGGAGGCAGAGGCAGGTGGATCTCTGAGAAACCTCAAAAAACAAAAAACAAAAATAAAAGGAATTTAAAGGCAGGGCTTAAGGAATGCTTAACCATCCATGTTCACGGCAGCATTACTCATAACAGCTTAACCAGAGAAGCAATCTCAGTGTTTATTCACTTATAGCTAGATCAGCAGTATGTGGAATATACACAATGGAATACTATGCAGCCTTAAGAAAGGACAAGCTGTCACTTGCTACTGTGGGGATTAATTTGAGGACAATATGCTGAGTAAGTAAGTCAATCATAAAAAGACAAAAACTAAAAATATTAAAAACAGAGCTACCAGCCAGATGGTGATGGTTCATGCCTTTAATCCCAGCACTTAGGAGTCGGAGGAAGGCAGATCTTTGTGAGTTCAAATACAGCCTGGTCTACAGAGTGAGTTCTCATCCTCTCCAGATGATAAAAGATTCCTTATCTAAAAGATACACTCTAATGACCAAGATGTGCCTACAGGGGCCATTCCTGAATACTTAGCAACAGCAGGGGGTCAGGGTGTGCAGTCTAAGAAGGTCCTATCCGGAGGACAGTTGGGATCCTCTCCCTGAAGTAGGGAGCCTTTAGGAAACTCAGTGCAGCTCAGCTGCTCAGCGGGAGACAAAAGTAGAGGACTTCACTTTCAAAGATCAGTCAGTACATGTAGCTTTTGTGTAACAGACTAAACCCCTGAAATCTACAGAAGACATACAAAGTTCTTGAGAAACTTATCCCCCAGAAACACCATCTGCTTGAGCTGAAAGAGACAGAGTGAGATATAAAAGGGGATTGTCAAACCCAAAAAATTTGGGTAGATAGGCAAGATAAAACTAGGCAACTACCAGCTCATGCTTCCTTCCATGAAGGCAGGAAGCGGGTGAGCCAGAGGACAGAGAAGACTGGGCTCCTGTTTCTAGCCCACCCACAATCCATTCTGCTTTACAATCCCAAAGAGTGCCTCTCATCCAGGATCCCACTCTGCCCCATCTTCCTTGTCCTGTTAACAGCCAAATGCCATCCTTTACCTACCTTAAAAAGTTTCTGGGAGTGTTTGATCATAAACGCCATCCCGGTATTTAACTTTGTGATATTCTCCTGAAGGTCATTTGCAGTGACCTAGTCAGTGGAAAGAGACCAAAGGGCATCAAGAACTGGGAAGTGCTCACCAGTACATTGTCACTGGAAGGCTTTGAGATAGATTTCCACTTGAAATGACATAATAGCACAGACATGTGTCCCTAAAGTGACCAGGAAATCCTTAAGCTTTCTTCATTTCCTACTTCTGCTCACAGATACCTAAGCAGAAAATCTAACCTAGGATTCAAAACACCACAGTCAAGGACACTGGCTCTGCAGAGATTGGGGCATTCATCCAGAGACCATCTACTAACACTCCTAGAGCTGATATCATTCTACAATACAAACTGCCATTGATCCCTTCTCTTGTTTCTCTTGCCTTTTTAAGCATCTCAGCATCTCTTTATGTCATGCCTTCATCCTTGTTATTTTATCTGTTTGCTCTTCCCAAGGCCCCATACATGCTTCTTTTTATAGCCACAGCTTGTTTCTGTATAGCATTGGAGGTTTTGTCTTGGTTGGTTGGTTGTTTGGGAGGGGTCATGCCCAGGCTGAAGTACATGCTCTGACGATAAGCTTCATGCCCAGCCCTCTAGAACTTGGTGAGTTAATTCAAAAGCCTTCACAATGTAACTTGAGCTCCTTGATGTGGACAAGTTTATCTGTTCCCCATTAACCCACCCCTGGTTTTTCCTAGCTCAGAACAGTCCATTGATTTTGACTTGTTATTTACAAAGATAAAATGTTACGTATAACCTCTCTCCTTAACTTTCCTTTCCTTATTTCTTTTTTCTTTTCTTTCTTTTTTGGTTTTTCAAGCCAGGGTTTCTCTGTTTAACAGCCCTGGCTGTCCTAGAACTTGCTTTGTAGATCAGGCTGGCCTCAAACTCACAGAGATAATGCCTACCTCCGCCTCCTGAGTTCTGGGATTACAGACATGTGCCACCACTGCCTGGCTCCTTATTTCTTTTCTTTTCTTTTCTTTTCTTTTCTTTCTTTTTTTTTTGGGGGGGGGTTTCGAGACAGGGTTTCTCTGTATTGTTTTGGAGCCTGTCCTGGAACTAGCTCTGTAGACCAGGCTGGCCTCGAACTCACAGAGATCTGCCTGTCTCTGCCTCCCGAGTGCTGGGATTAAAGGCATGCGCCACCAATGCCCGGCTGACTCCTTATTTCTCAAGACTCTCAAAAACTTCCTACTAGTCACTGTAACAATCTATTTTTATTTTTTCTAACAACCTTTGAGGTAACTGGTAACAACTACTCCATGCCTCCTTTACAAGGGAAGTATAAAGAAACAGGTACAGGTCTGGGTTGCAGTTTCCAACCCAAATACACTACTCATAATCTCATCTCCCATCAAAGCCTATGTTGTAAAAGCACAGGAACCCGAGCTTTATGTGTCCAGGTCAAACATTTGTTTAGCAAACTATTGTAAAATGTAAGCCACTAATGAGGCCATTGCCTCAGTAAGAAGCACACTCAGTTTTATGAAAAAAAAACTGAATATATGGAAGTAAAACTGTTGGGGCAGGCTAGACTGCTTTGTCAGCTTGGGATATTATCTCACACGATCACACTACACTATTCTAAACCTTCAGGAATTAATTTGTATTAATCCTCCAATCATTAGAAAGCAATGTGATTTACCAAGGAGCATTCCTATTAAGATGGGATTCAAACAGTCTAGCCAAAACAAATATTCTAGCTTCTTTAGCAGCTAGAATGTCCCAGGAAAAAGTGGTCAGGCAGGGTTACTAGAGACTGACTTATCAGTGAGGTTACAGGAACCAGGCCCCTCAGTTTTGATGACTCTTAAGCTCCTAACCTCATAAACATGAAGGCTGGACCTTGGATCCTTGATAACCTCACCAATGTACAACCACAGGAAGGGCCCAGCCTGAGAAAACCAAGCCCTGAAGATCTTCCCTCAATACTAACATTTTTGGGCCACAGGACATGGGGTGCAAACATAAGGGCAAGGTTATGGGCAGACATCTTATTCTTGTCTTGCTTCTTCGCTGTTTGATAAAGGAGATCAAGCAGTAACTTCAGCAGGTTACGGTTGGCTGGAGGCAAGATGAGGAAAAGCAGCTGCAGGGCCTCAATCTGCCGCTCCTTGTCTGGTATGTTGGTCTTATTTCCTTTATCATCAAACTGCATCAAATCTTGAAAAAAAAATATTGGACAGAAAGGAATAAACCAGCAGGAAAAGTCAATGCTAGTACTATTATTTTCCCCTCAGTCCCACTAAAGAAAGAGAAGGAATAAAAGAATCAATCATAAAGGAAATTCAAAACTGCTATACTTTAAGGAAGGTCCTAGATTCAAATACCAATACTATAAAAATAAAATGGACAATGGGTTTTTGCAAAGTACTTCCTGTGTGACTATGAACATGTTAGCAGGCATAGCATGAGCCCCAGCACAACAAAACGCAAAACATAACAAATATATGTCAATCCAATTCAATAACTAAAGACAATCCAATTTTAAAATGTGGAAAAGATTTAAGTAGAAGGTTAGGTGTGGTGTTGTATAACCCTGTGTCTAGCACTCAGAAGGTTGACAGGCAGTCTGAGTCATAATAGTGCCACCTTATCGCAAAAGGAAAAAAAAAAAGCAAACAACAAAAAACTGAATAGAATCCCTTCCAAGAAAATAACATACACAAGCCAGGGAGAGTGACACACACCTATGGTTTTAACCTACTTGGGAGGCTTTGGTAGAAGGATTGTGAGTTTGAGGTAATTTAGCAAGGCCATGTCAATTTAAAGAAAAGACGAAAAGGAAGAGGAAGAAAAGAAGGATGATGTCAAACAAGGGGTCAGTAAGCCTAAGCATGCTTGAATTGTCTCAGTAAAACCACAAGATACCACTTCACACATACTAGGATGGTCTGAACAAAAGTACTGACAATGCAAATACTGGAATACAGACACTAAACCTTCTATTGCAGGTGGGAATGTTACACGGTGTAATCACTTTGGGTCTCTTTTTAAATCTGTATGGATCTTTGCTGCAAGTATGTCTGTGCATCTGGGTGTGTACTGCCCAGTGAGACCAGCAAAGAGCATCAGATCCCTTGGAACTAGAGTGACAGACAGTTGTGAGCCACCATGTGGATCCTGGGAATTGAACTAGGGTCCTCTGGAAAAGCAGTCAGTACTCTTAACCACTAAGCCTTCTCTCCAGTCCCAGTGTAACCACTTTGGAAAACATTTGAGCTATGCATCAAAAAGTTACAGTTATGCCCCAGCAATATCCAAAAGAATTAAAATCAAGTCCACACACACCTCTGACAATGTCAGCTCTTCTCTTCTCTTCCCTAGTCAGACAGGTTAGGTTGTGGCTAAAGGTAAGTCAGAGGGAACCATGCACCGGGTGACTCCATGCAGCTCTTCTCCAGCTGTGCCGCACCTCCATATGTTCTCAAGAGCAGTAATTCACCCGGCAGCACAGTGGAGGATGTCAGATACTGTTTTATTTGCAGGAAGGAAAATAAAACAAACACTCTATATGCTAACACATAAAATATCATTTATGCTTTCTAATGCTTTTCAAGGATCTAAAACTCTCTGAAATGTAACTATAAAATTGTGTGTATATTAGTAACGTATCCTCATTTGTACTACCAAATCACCAATGAATGTGACTTCAAAAATCTTAGCTAAAGGGCTGAAGAGATGGCTCAGAGGTTAAGACCTCTTGTCTCACAGAGGTAGGTAATGAGAAAAAGAGAGAGGAAAGGAGGGAGAGAGGGAAGCAGAGAAGGTGAAGGGTAGAGGGAAAGGGGTGGGAAGAAAAAGAAGAAATGACATGGGTGGAAAACTAAGCATGGATTTTGATACTGTGTGCACTTACAGCCTAGTGTAGCATAACAGATGTTCAATTTAAGAATGAATTCCCTACCACATAGACACAAAAAATGAGGAAACTATGAGCTAAGAATAGAACAGTCTCCAAGATGCAATAAGTGAAAAAGCAAACACAGAACAATGTGTATAACATTCTGCCATTACATAAACAGAGGCAGAAAAGAATATATATATATATATATATATATATATATATATATATATATATATACATACATACAGTGTACAAACACCTCTGGAAGGCTACATTAGACATCACAGCAGTGGTTGTCTCTGGGAAGAGCTGGTGCTAGGGAACAGGGTGGAAGAGAAGTTTTTCTATCTTGACCATGTGGTAGACTGCCTACTCAATAAGCAAATAATAATGCTTTTAAAAGAAGAGCTTGTAAAGGCAGAAATGACCTCAACTTAGGCATGGAAATACCTGCAAAAACTCCAAACCAAAGCAAAAGCACAGAACCAGCAACCACCTTTATTGGGAAAGCACACCTTTATTGAGCAATTGAAATGTTCCGAGTACTATGGTGGTCTACATCTAAGATACAAAAACCAACAAGAGCCAGACGTTGGTGGCACACGTCTTTAATCCCAGAACTTGGGAGGCAGAGGCAGGTGGAACTCTGTGAGTTCAAGGCCTGCCTGATCTACAGATAGAGGTCCAGGACAGGCTCCAAAGCAATACAAAGAAACCCTGTCTTGGAAAAAAAAAAACAAGAAATCTATCAAAAAGATTTAAGGAGATTTAGAGATGACTCAGAGGTTAAGAGTACTTGCTCTTGCAGACAAAACACTTTTCAAAGATTTATTTATTTTTATTTTATACACATGAGTGTTTTGCCTGCATGTTTCTCTGTGTGAGGGTATCAGATCTTGGAGTTATAGACAGTTTTTAGCAGCCATGTGGGTTCTAGGAATTGAACCCACGTCCTCTGAAAGAGCAGTCAGTGTTGTTAATTGCTGAGCCATTTAAGGTCAGTGAGATGTCTCGGAAGGTAAAGATGTTTGCTGCCATGCCTGGTGACCTGAGATCAGTCCTTGAGATCCACATGGTAGGACAGAACTGATTCCAAAACTTGTCCTCTGACCTCACATGCATACCATGTCATATGCACATGAACACACAAAATAACTAATATTTTTAATGTTGTAAAAGGAGAAAGAGGAAGAGGAAGAAAACAGCAATTGATCAAATCAAACTTAACTAGCCAAGATTTGTAAGTACCCAGAGGAGGCCATTAGAATCATGAAGTCTGAGCCAATATCAAAATATCATAGAGAGTAACAAGCAACAGGAGATCACAAAGGACTTCGAGAAATTGAAAAAAGTATTTTAATCTCTTTCTCACTTCTTATACTCACCAGCAATTTTGAGGTGCACATGAAAATGTTTATGGGTTAGGAGGGGCTCTGGTAACTCTCCTAGAAACATCTTCAGCAGCGTGGCAACATCATTTGAGTGAAACTCTCCTGAATCCAAGTCAATATCGGTTCCGTTATTGAGAGCATCCCTCAAAAGCTGCTGTCGGACACTGTTACCAGGTACTCTGAACAAGCCTTCCACTCGCAAGTCTGCTTAGCATGGACGGCCAGGAGGAAACAGGAGAATCGTGGTTAATGTATGCAGTATAAACATGGCTTCTCTTTAAAGACCTTGTACAGCACCTTCATAAAGGAGGCTCTGACAATATTTCTAGGGAAGCTTGAGAATTTTTTGTCCCCGTGAGCACCTAGAGATGACTCACACTAAAAGGTGGTCCTGCAAAGGTCATTTGTCCTCCTGAAGTACCACTGAATACTGAATTTAACAGTCAATGGTCAAAAAAAAAAAAAAAAAAAAGCTTGAAAAGTAACATGAAATAAAACCACATCTCAATACCCCTTTATCCTTGTTTCTCTCAAGGAGCTGAGCTCATCTACGGGCATTTGTGGCTCCTATAAAGTGTTTTCTTCTGCCAAGAAAAAACTCAGAATCTCTGCATTATTGTGTGACTCAGAATTCTAACACATCACCTTGCAGCTAAGAGACTCCCAAAGGCTTAGGTCATCCAAAATGGGCTGCTCCCACATCACTAGGCTCTAAGCTCATGTAAAGAAATTTCAAAAAGAGAGGTAGACAGTCACATTGTTTGATCTGGAAGAAGCTTGTCCATGTTTACATCTTTGTGTATTCCCACATTTCAGAGACAGGCAGGTGACAGCAAAGGAATGAATGGGACCCACAACAAACTGCACAACACATTCCTGAGCTCCAGCAGGCCATGTCCACACAGCAGCTGGGCTGGAGGAAGCCAGGTACTCTCATCACACAAACAAGATGAAAACCTGGATGGTGGTGCACACCTTTAATCCCAGCACTCGGGAGGCAGAGGCAGGCAGATCTCTGTGGGTTCGAGGCCAGCTTGGTCTACAGAGCGAGTTCCAGGATAGGCTCTAAAGCTACACCGAGAAACCCTGTCTCAAAAAAAAAAAAAAAAAAAAAAAAAAAAAAAAAAAAACCACTGATGTCTGGTTATTTAATCATATCTTTTGCCAAAATAAAAAAAAAGTAAAAACTTTTTAAAAACCCACAAATCCAGACACCACAAACCCTTTCAAGACTTGAGTCCACAATCTCCATTGTGCTCTTCCTACACAGCGTCGAACACCCAGCAAGTCAGAAAGGCATATTTGATTGGTATTTAAATGTATCAAGTCACATAAAAGGCTTCACATTTTACATGTTCTTAGCTATGCTGAGCTCTTAGAGCAATGACACGACCCACAGGACCACTAAAAACTAGATGAGATTTCATGTGTACATTAATTACAGAGCTCTGAAGATGGAAGTATTATGCTTTCTTGAACAGATGTCATAATTCTTTAGGAACAAAAAGGAATTCTTCCAGAATTGTCTAATAGGTAATTATGATTTCATAGACATTATCTGCTTTACCTTCATCTTTGAAAGCAAAGCAAATCAATAATTGACATGAAATTCCAAAGGAAATATATTTTTAAAATCTACAGCCTGAAAATCGGTTGTATATTTCTTTGTTGATGGGTAGTTTGGCATCTACTAACCCGTCAACTCTCAAAGGAAAACTGGCAATTCTTCATTAAATACTTAAGTAGTCTTACTTTTGTGCAGATATTCAATCAGTTGGTATATCTGGGCAATGCCTTCCTCTGTCAGTGGAGATCCAAATACCACTCCTTTTTCTGAAAAAAATATGTCACAGGGCTTTATGACATAAAGAGTACAAGGCCATCAATGTAACGATTCTTTTTACACATATTCATTTATTCAGGGAAAGGGGGCATGACAAACGTGGTGTTCAAGGGACAACTTAAGGAAGATGGTTCTCCCCTTCCACCATGTGGTCCTGGGGCTTGAACTCAGGTCATCAGGCTGGCAGTGGATGCCTTTACTTGCTGAGCCTCCTTACTAGCATAAATACCATGATTTTAAAAGCATTCAAGCATTCTACTTTCATGTAATGTTTTCACAGCATTGGTAAACAAAAATTTTAAGAAAGTAAGACTAAAAACTAGAAATAAACCCCCAAAAAATGCTGCCAGAACAACTGTCAAGTCAATTCTCTCAGAGAATTCAGCATCAGCATCAGATCATGAATTCCTAGAGATGAAGACTTTTCCTTATTTAAGAAACAATACCCAGCACATTGAGATTTAATTTAAAACAAAAAGAGAACCTGAACCATGACTGTGAGTCATGACAATTATTCACTAGAACTGGTATAGGATATGATCTTTAATGTTTAAATATTCCATCCTGCCTTAGTGATTTTCTTATATTTAATAAAATAAAATAAAAATAATAAAATCAGGGCCTCTTTAATATTCTGTCAAAAGTAGTGCTCCAGGAATGGAGAGATAGCTGCTCTTCCAGAGGACCAGGGTTCAATTCCCAGCACCCACATGGCAGCTCACAACTGTCTGTGACTAGTTGCAGGGGATCCAACACCCTTATACAGATATACATGCAGGCAAAACACCAATGCACAGAAATATATATATATATATATATATAAATCATTAAAAGAAAACAGAAGTAGTGCTCTGCACTTCCTGATAGGCTTTGAGGCATGTTCCAAGGGAGAGAATTCATATCTGGTACTGTAAGCCTGGTCAAAAGCCCAAGGCTGGGGAGGTCCATAGGCCTTCAGGAGCAACCTACTATTGTTTTGCTAAATTGTCAAGCTGTTAAACTGTCTTTAAATGTGTATGCTACAGATGTGAGCTGCTCTCAACCTCAAGCAGAAAACCTTTTCCAAGAGGGCATCAGTTAACGTAGAGACTCATAATGGTCACAGTGCTGTGAATAGCTGATATCAATATCAGCATTCTCTACAAAGGGTTCAAGGAACATGAAATAAAAGGGGATGTGTGTGTGTGTGTGTGTGTGTGTGTGAGAGAGAGAGAGAGAGAGAGAGAGAGAGAGAGAGAGAGAGAGAGAGAGAGAGAGCACCAGGGGATGGAGAAGAATGCTGTGAAATGCTCTCTTCTGGACATGAAACAGCCACTGTATTTATGAATTCACAGCAACTATGGTTACCTGCATAAGACCCTCACAAGATCAAGTAATCATTAGCATTACAGCCACACACCCCCTCCCCTAGCTGAGGAGCTATTGCTGCTGATGGCTGCTGGAACAGGGAGAGCCATTTTTCTCTGAGTGTGTAGCCACTAGTAAATTCTTCATGTTCCCATAGCCCTGGGCATACAGGCAGCACAAATCAGACTCTGTAGGTTATTTTTTAAAAAGCTAGGCAATAGTGGCACACGCCTTTAATCCCAGCACTCAGGAGGCAGAGGCAGGTAGATCTCTGTGAGTCAGAGGCCAGCCTGGTCTACAGAACGAGTGCCAGGATAGGCTCTAAAGCTACACAGAGAAACCCTGTCTCAAAAAAACAAAAAACAAAAACAAAAAAGCTACCCTGTTCTACATAGCATGTTCTAGGCCAGCCAGAGATACACATGAGATCCTGTCTAAAATAGACTGAAAGGAAGGAAAGAGAACATGAAACTCAGATGGGGATATACTTGGGCAGAGTCCAGGGGAGTTGGAGGGGAAGGAGGCAGACAAAATATATATCTATATAGATATATAGATATAGATATAGATATAGATACATATTTGATCTTCAGTAATTGTTCAGGCTTCCTTGACTATACTACCCTGATATGTAACTTTATTTTCTCTGGTATCATTTTAACTGAACAGAACAGTGCATTCCTGTAGTCCCAGCTAAGGCTAAGGCAAGATGATCACTTGAGCCTAGTGAGATCAGCCTAGGCAACAGAGTGAGACACCAACTCATTAAGAAAAAGAGAAAGGAAGAACGGAAGGTCACTTGAAAAATATTATTTTAGTACAATAACTGGGCATGAAAACTAAGATGCCCTTGATAACTGCCTAAACTAATCATATCCTCTTTCAGGCACTGAATATATCTTCTATCTTCTCTCCTTTCCTCCTTCTCCTCTTTTTCCTCTCTTTCTATGTGTCCAAGTTGCCCTCAGACTTCAGATACTCTTGCCTCAACCACCCAAATGCTGAGATTACAAGATTTGCATCACCATACCAGGTTTAAGTATTTCTTCACATAGACAGTCTTATAATTTTTATTATTACTGCCTAAAGTTCTACTAATGAAAATGAGGGGAGAAGACGAAAAAAGCTTTAGGAGAATTACAACTTCCCAGTGAGAGTGAAAATGTTAAGGGGATAGAGCACAGTTCTGGGAGCCCCTTCAACAGTTAACAGCATTGTTACTCTGGCAGAGGACCTGGCATGGCTCACAACTGCCTGTAACTTCAGTTCCAGGGCATCTGACACCATCTTCTGGCTTCCGTGGGCACCTGCATATACCTGGTACACAAACAAGCAGGCACAATAGATAACATAATTTCTAAATTCTTTTCAAGAGAATAAAGCCCAATCAGCAGCAAAAACCCAGACACAGGACCTACCCTTCCGCTTGAGAGACATTAGAGACCTGAAGAACCCTGCGGCTGGGCCAGCCCCACCAGGCAGCTTAAGGTCCACCTCACCCATCAGCTGAGCCAACTCAGTCCCAGGCAAATCAATAAGTCTTGTGATATTGCTGACCACCAACTCGGTAAACACCTCTGGTTTCTCATGTCGGAGTTTTTCCACAAAAAAGTCAGGGTTGAAGATAATAGGTTGACCTCGAAGGGGAGAATCATTGCAAATGACAAAATTGCAGATGGCATCACTGGAAAACAAACAAACAACAACAACAAAATCAAACAGAAGGCTCTTTGGAGGAATTGTTTTTGTATTTCTTCCTACCCCAAGGGTTCTACAGTTACTGAGTCTACACACAGCAGAGGGTTCCTAACAGGCAGCTTCCCCTAACAAAAGCAGCTGGCCTTGGCATCTGCTCTTCATAGCCAACGCATTCACAGAATGGAAGAGGCTACAGCTACATAGAGACAAATACCAACCTAGCTTTACGCAGGCCGACAGACAGTCTTCGCTGCTTATTCATTTAGTTGGTGGTTCTTTGTGCATACTAGTCAAGTGCTCTCTGACATTGTACTACTATATCTCAAACTTACTTTTACTTTTAAATCTTTCCCTTCTGGGTGCCTCTGACTCATTAGTTATCTAAGGTTTTTCTCTACAAGGCCCTGATCTTTGTATTTAAGAACTCGATTGTTGGGCCAGTAAAACAGCCAAACCCGATGACCTTAGTTTTGATCGCTGACTTTCACATGGTGGCAGGAGAAAACTGACTCCCACCAGTAGTCCTCTGATAACCACATACACGCTGTGGTACACACACTCACAAATACACACAAAATAATTAAGTGTCAAAAATTATTTTTAAGTGTAAAATTTTTAAGAATAACTCTATTGTTGGTCACAGTGGCACATAACTGTAATATCAGTATTCTCCATGAGGCTGAGGCAGGAAGACTGGGAGCTGAAGACCAGCCTATACAATGAGATCCTTACTCAAAACAGTTAATGAGTTCCAGGACAGCCTTCAAAGCCACAGAGAAACCCTGTCTCAAAAAAACAAAACAAAAAAACATAGTTAAGTTGCTAGAGAGATGGCTCAGTAGTTTAAGAGTACTTGCTACTCTTCCAGAGACCTGAGTTTGGTCATCAGCACAACTGCCAGTAACTACAGCATCAGGGGATCTGCAAAAAAAATGTTGTAAGACTTCTAAAAAATTATAATTATTGTTATTACATCAAATTAATAAAAATAAGAACTGTACTAATCCACCTCCTATAGAATACATGTCATCAATTGTACTTACTATCAATTATCTCTAGTGGCTGGTTCTAATTCTTATCATATATATATAGTCATCAGTTATATAGCAGATGAATAAATATAACATATACTACAAAGGACATCTTATCATATTTCAGTAAAGTTCACCTGACTCATACAAATACTTCCACAATAAAAAGTCCATGCACCCAGGCTATCAAATACTGTTCCAGGAAAAGTAATGCCTCTAAATATTAAACAGATCTAACCAACAACATATCTTTCTAACAGGACATGAACTTCCTTTCTGGTGGTTGGGCTTTCGAATTCTAGGCAAGTACTCTTCCCAGCAATATCCTCAACCTTGGTTGGTTGTTTGGTTGGTTGGTTGGTTGGTTTGGTTTGGTTTGGTTTGGTTTAGTGTGTTGGTTTTTGAGACAGTCTCACTCTATAGACCAAGCTGGTCTGAAACTCATTTTGTAGCCCTACTGCCTCAACCTCCCAAATACTGAGATTACAAGTGTAAACTGCCATACCCAGGCATTAATTTTGTTTGTGGTACTGGGGGTTAAACCCAGCACTGAGTACATGCTAGACATGCTCTACCACTGAACCACATCCTCAGCCCAGCTGATAATTTTTAATAACAGGATAATGAAAACAAGACACAGATAAGTAAACTTCAAAGTTCATCTGTACTTCCTTGAAAAACAATATTGCATAATTTTAACAGCCCCAATCTTCAGTCGGTGGTTACTATATGCCTTTTACTATAAGAAATAATGTAAGAATTTAGGGCCAGCAAGATGGTTCAGTCAATAAAAGTGCTTGTTCCCATGCCTAACAACCCAAGTTTGATCCCTAGTAGCTACATGAAAGGAAAGAAAGGAAAGAATAACTCCCACAAATTGTCTTCTGACCTATACACATACTCTATTCTCTCTCTCTCTCTCTCTTTCTCTCTCTCTCTCTCTCTCTCTCTCTCTGAATGTGTGTTCTCACTGACTAAAACACTTAGAAGCTTATCTCCTCAATCTTTCACACTATTTCAGACTTTTCCTATGTAAACTCAGACACATCAGTAATTGCAGGATAACTACAATCAGAAGCAATTTCATTTTTTGTTTTGGTTTTGGGTTTTGCTTTGTTTTGTTTTGTTTTTGAGGGTGTTTTTCTGGGTAGCTCAGGCTGAGCTAGAACTCAGAGATCAGTCTGCCTCTGCCCCTCTGCCTCTGCCTCTGCCTCTCTGTCTCTGTCTCTGTCTCTGTCTCTGCCTCTGTCTCTG